GTGTATGTGTTAAATGTTGAATTTAGAATCGACATCCCATCACTTGGTGCACCACCATAAGCGCTCCGTTCCTATCTCTAGCAGCAAGCGAAGGGTTAAAATTCCGATGGTACCAGTAACTGTCTAACTGTATATCCGTCTCGCCTTTTCCCTGAGTGTCGAGCGTCGACCAGATCCCTTTGTAACTCCTTGCAGTGCCATTTTCCTCAGACCGTAATGATCTATCTGTTCCTCGACCCTGTTCACTCGCTCCCAAAGGGCCCTCACAACATCCAGCTTTTCATACATCAGTTCACCATTAAGTGGCCAGTCTATCTATCTGCTCATTTCTCAACACACCAGTATAGCCTGGAGACAATATCCAAAGGATGCTAACTACCCGGGACCTCTAAAGTGATGCTTGCCGCTCTTCATTGAGCATGCCTGTCTCCACCTTTCTGAGCATGCTCTGTGAGTCAGTTACAATGACGACATCGTGTGTGTGTGTGTGTGTGTGTGTGTGTGTGCAAATTAATAAGGACTTTTTAATGTTAGTGACGCACTGGGCATATAGTGCTAGGCCGATATTTGTATGGACCAATTACCAATCTAAGGGGGATGTTGGCAGTATCACCACGGCCTCCTTTACTTCGTAGGACTTATCCTGGTATCCATTTCAAAATGGCTGGATATGGATGCCAAGATCAGTGGCCGTTTAATCTCATCAACGCGAATTCTAAGGGAGAGAGAATTCAAGTAAATAAAGGACCCGGTACTATCACTCTTTAGTTCACTCTATCTCGAGGAATCTAAGTTTCCACGGAAATTTCAATATCATAGGTTCATATACAATACAGATGAAAGTAGTAAAGGGATTAGAACAGACGTAAATAGTCAGTGTGTGTGTTTCAACATGTTATGAGAAGGAACGGACTCGAGAACTTGGTAACAACCTGCAAGTTGATGGACAGAGAGCCGGAGGAAGGCAAAAAAATAAAAACTTTAAAGTTGAAGATTAAAGTCGACAGGGTGGACTTAATTGCACCGGGTTTTATCAGTCCATCACCTCAGAGCGGTTAGCCGCCTGCCAAACGCTTTGCGCAAAAACGAACTCCGTATAGCTCCGGCGACGATCCCCTCGGATCTGGGTACAAATTGTATTCATGAACTGAACGGCGCCACCGTGAAACGAACCCAGGTCCTTCAGAGCGCAAGGAAGACGCCTTGACCACTTTGTCACGAAGATTAATACCATGAAGTTTTGGCCTATTCCCGCATCTGGTGATCGTGTGCGATGGAGAAACATGACAACCTTCGCTTATCTGTATGGCACATGGTGATGATAAGTACCGTCAGAAAGCAATGGCAAACTACTAAATGTGAAACTACCTAGCGAAACCAAAGCAACGACCTGCAAAGGACTTGTATCTCACTTACTTCTCGGCGTCCGTCGTAGTTGGGCAAATTTATGAGATCACTGCCTCAGTAAACAATGGTGCCGTCTCCACAGTCAAGGTTTTCTACAATGGATCTACAACCAAAAAGGGAAATATTGCGCAATGGTGACCATTATCTTCCACAGTGGGAGTCCCTTATCGCTATTTTAAAGCCACTACAAAAATATCTTTCTTCTAAACCACTTATCGCGGGAATCTAACCATGGGAAAGCATTGAGAAACCATTTCTCTAATATTTAATTATTTCGATAACCGGCAACGCAGTATGCGTTTATTAGTTTCCACTGAAATTATCCACGTTCCTCGACTCTCTGCATCTCATCAAGAGGCTATATTAACCGACTCTGCCCCAAATGTCTCTTTAACTCTCCCTGTCTCGTAGTATTGTAATGTCAACTTATGAGGTACAAATATTTCTTAGTTAAAGTAGAACTTTTAAAGATGTAATGAGTTAAAGTGAAACCTATAGTGACTCTGTAAAGTACTATATAGAGTACAATGTAGGGTACCGTCTAAAGTGTTATGTAGAGTACTGTATGTAACACTATACAGAGTCATATTAGAGAACTAGGTAAAGTACTGAGCAATGTATAATTTAATATGTAGTGTACTATATAGAGTACTGTATAGAGCAGAGTGTAGAGTAGTGTCCAGAGTACAATGTAGATAACTTTATATAGTACTGTGTAGAATACTGTGTAGAGTCATATGTAGAGTACTGTACAAAATACTGTGTAATGTATAGAGTATTATGTAGTGTACTAAGTAAAGTACTCTGTAGAGCAGTTTTGTCAGAGTACTGTGTAGTGTAGTGGGTAGAGTACTATGTAGAGTATTGTGTGGTGCACTGCGTATAGTACTATTTAGAATACTATGTAGAGTACCATGTATAGTACTGTATAGAATGCTATGTAGACAAGTATTTAAGTAAAAGGTAGAGTACCATATAGCGTATTATGCAGAATACTTCGCAGAGTACCACGTAAAGTAGTATGTTGATTACTATGTAAAGTATTATGTAGAGTACCATGTAGCATATTATGTAGAATACTATGTAGAGTAGCATGTCGAACACTATGTAGAGTACTTTGCGTCTGACTGGTTATTTCATTCCGTAGACAATATGATCTAATAGTGAACAAGTTAACAAACGTATTGTGGTGATTTGGCCAAGGTCTATGCTCCATTTTGAGATGTGTTTTACTTCTCAATATTTTAGACCCCGACATAAATAGATTGGACGAATAGCTTCTTTCAGAACAACTCCTTTCAGAACATCTCCTCTCCTATTCTACTTTAATTCATTAATATTTCATTAGAATTATCTGGTATCCGTTTTGTGAAGCTAGCTGGTTTTTTAGAACATAATAGTCGAAAGGTCCTAACTCAGACCTGTTAGGCGCAGTAACTGTACGCACCAACGAAGAGCAATTTGTATCCAGATGTTGACAGCGTAGACTGTCGTCATAATCTAACTACGAAATGAGGGACATGCATGGTTACCAGACAACAGTCACGAACCAGTACTGACAAGACAGAAAGCAACATTAGATTACTTCATTTACAAATTTCTGGAGAACTACTGAAGCCAAGGAATTACACATGACAGCAACAGTGGCAAGACATCGGATTTATGATAGAAATTCTAAAGAAAAACAAATATATGAAGAAAGCTTTGTAGAAGAAATGTTACTGGGTGATTGAGGATGATGATGATAAGTGTCTAAAGTCTAGATTACGTATACTTGTAAGTCCATATTGAATTCATAAATTCAAATTTGTGACACATGAAAGCTAGAAAAGAATATAGAGCATATCTTTCTCTTTTTCTTGAAGTTCGTTTTCATATGCTCAGATCAGACCGTTATGTCAGTGGAACATTCGTAACCTCAATAAGCTGACCAGAAATCAGCGATGAACAATGTGGATTTGTAGAAGGAAAAGGTACAAACAATGCTATTTACATCCTAAGGACATTGTCAGAAGAGCTATAGAAGTAAAGACTGATTTGTACTTATGCTTCATAGAGAATACAAAAGCCTCTGACTGCGTGAAGCAAGAAGAAGTAATCAAACTGTTGGAAAAATTAAACATTGATGGAAAGGATCTACGAATAATAAAGAATATGTATTGGCAGCAAACAGCAGCTTCAAGAAACAACAACTGTTTAGGTACTTTTCAAAGCATAAAGAGAGGCGTACGACAAGGACGTGTACTATCACCTGAATTGTTTTCAATATACAGTGAATATATAATGAGATCTTTAATTGATATGCCCAGGATTGCGGTTTGTGGGCACAATATAAACAATTTACCTTAGGCTTATGACACAGTCTTGATAGCAGCAAGCCAGAAAGAACTACAGGAAATGATAATACACATTGTGGTGTTAGAAAGTGGAACAATGGGCCTCTGTTTGAATAATGGGAAGACAGAAGTAATGGTAGTATCAAAGAAACGAATTATTCCTAAATGTGTAATAAAAGTCTATGGTGTTTTTTTAGAACAAGTACAGAAATTTAAGTATCTGGGAACATGGATAACGTCAGATGTAAGATGCATAACTGAGATAAGAAACAGAATAGGATAAGCAAAAACTGCATTTTATGAAATGAAGAATATCTTGTGAAATATATCATTGTAAGTTAGAAAAAGAATTCTTGCTTGCTACATACATCCAGTTTTAACATATGGCTGTGAATCCTCTACAATCGGTAGGCAGGTCAAACGATTTTTTTAGGCCTCAGAGATGTGGTTTCCCAGAACAATGCTCAGAATACATTGGACATCCAAAAAGAGCAACCAAGAGGTTTTGAAAGAGGCGGGAGATCAAAGACAACTTATCACAGACATCAGAAGGAGACATTCATCAATTTTCGGCCATTTTATGAGAAGAGGGAAAATAGAACATGTTGTGACCACTGGAAAGATCTGTGGAAAGAGGGATAGAGAAAGACAACGAGAAAAGATTCTTGACAGTCTTGTTGCATGGCATGGAGGTATGTCGGCACACGAACTGATACATGCTGCAGGAGATCGTGAATTATGGACAGACGTGATCGCGCACGCCAGTCGGCAAGGCAGCTGATGATCATGATGATGATAAGCTAGTATGAAATGTAGTTAAGAACTGAAACTCCTGCAACGCGACGTGTTTTACATTTGCTGCTAACCTCTGTGATTATTAAGGTAGGTACCCAAATGCCATATTAACTTCCTATCTTGTTCGTGCCTGGTTTATGTGGCAGCCCAGATCAATATTTTTTAGTGTATTTTTTTTTTTAAAATCTCAAAGAAGCTTTCATAAATGTCATTGAGTTTTGACGTTTGCACTGCTCCTTACTTCTAACGATTTTAATCCTATTTTATGTGAATGTCTCATATTTATTTACCATTCACAATGGTAGTATTACCCACCTGAAAATATCATGAGTACAATATGCAGTAAAATGAAGTTATGCTTTTCTGTGTTCTAGTGATACTTCGGTGCTTGTTCTTGAAACTGCCAATTCTCAACTAGACGTCGTGTCTTTAGGGAATTCGACACAAAGAACTATGCAAAATATGACTATTACAACATCCGCATTACCTAAGAAAATAAATTATAAAAATGTAAGTAATGATTTTAAAATATCCAAAAAATCATCGACAGTCAACTACCTAACTATTGGTTACAAGATCCTTGTCTCTAATTCAACTAAACCAGATAACAGAACCAATGAGAAAATACTTACAGGGAATACGAATACAACCAGGGCAGTTAATTCTTTAGATAAATTACCTAATCGTACAGCGAATAATAGCAAGACAAATAACGTTACAGTCAAGCCTGGTAATGTATCATTAACAACGGACAACACAAGAGCGGAGAAATCAAGCAATGGGTCCACCAGCGACATGAAACGTAATGTAACGTTGTACGTAACTTCTGCTGATCTCACCAAAGGGCGCTTGGGGAACCAGATGTTCACGTATGCCTCTTTACTAGGCATTGCTCGAGCTCAAAATCGGAGATTTGTTGTTTCGCCTGGATCTGATCTTCAGAACACATTTAAGCTGCTTCATGTGGCTCAGATGCAAGACTCTGGCGGGTAAGTTTATAGACACTAATGTGGTTGATAAATGCATGTTGTTTGTTTCCTGATAAGCGATGATGGATTGATGTGGATTTTGCCCCAATAGGTAGCCATGTAAGATGTAATATTTGATGTTTGTTCTTTTTGATTCTTTTGTCAAACACGAACTTGCATTTTTTTTCTCTCTATGAGATAAAGGTTGTTTTCGCAGATTATACTGTTGAACAAGTGATGGCTGTTCTCTGAGATTATTTGAGGTTTTCTAGGTTTGCAATTTTAAACTCTTCACATTTGTTTAATGGGATTATCGGTAATTTTCGGGAATTTCATGTCAGATTAACACTTTATTTTTTTTTCTTCTATATTGATTTTTTGTTGTTCTCCAAAATTATCTTGTCAGTTGTGGCTCTTTAAGGTTTTTGCGTCAGATAAACAGCTGATGTTTGTCTAATATTACCAATAAGTTTTATAATCGTGGTCTGGGATTATCGTACTAAATAAGCATTAGATTTTACGCTGTCAGGTTACCATGCAAGATAGACACATGCTGCAGGAGATCGCAGATTGTGAGAGGCATTATCGCCAGTCTGCAAGACACCTGATGATAAAAATAATGGCCATGTTAAAAATAACAATGAAAAAATGACCATGTTATCAATGACAATGATATAATGTCTTTCAAAAGAGGTGGGAGCCCGAAGATAACTTACCACGGACATCAGAAGGAGACAGTCATCTATTTTCGGCCATGTTATGAGAAGAGGGTGAATAGAACCACTGGAAAGATCTATGGATGGAGGGAGAGAGGAAGACAAAGAGAGAAGATTTTTTAGTCTTGTTGCATGCCATGAAGGTGTGTCGGCACACGAACTGATACATGCTGCAGGAGATCGCAGATTGTGGTGAGGCATGATCGTCCACGCCAGTCAGCAAGACACCTGATGATGATGTTACAAGTAAAGAAGACTGACAGACTTTCTACCACACCAGGACATCACACAAGCGATAAACACCTAGTGACACAAAGTACCACCATTCGGATGAGGATCACCCGTGGAGAGGTCCCAAAATCCCGTTCAATCGTTAGGTTATATTATGGCCTCGAGAACAACTAGGGTGAGTCTTTAAAGAGAGAAAAATGTGTCCCACATGGGAGCAGAGGTCATAAGTCAAGAGTTGTAGTAGTACATTTTACCCCACTAGGACATCACACAAGCGATAAATACCTGATGACACAAAATGCTACCATGTGGATGAGGATCACCCGTGAAAAGGTCCCAGAAACCGCGTTCGGCCACTAGACCATATTTATGGCCCGGCTATATTGCGGCCCCTGGCAAGAGCCAAGGTGGGGCTTCAAAATAACGAATAATTGCATCCCACAAGGGAATGACTAGTGGAGAGTAAAGAAGAAGTAAAAGAAAATAACCCTTTTTTTTTTATACCAGTAGCATATCGGCATTTAATTCTAGTCTCGTATTTGATAGACAAACGGGCACTTGATGTGCGAAATGAAATCGTAAGCATCATGCCGACCGTCTTTACTTCCCATGATATTACCTACTGCTCATTTTAGGTTGAGTGGAACTGAAAGTGAAGATTGAATTGGGAAAAGTATCCTGTAGGAATTCGAACCAGGATCTTTGAGTCAGCAGGCGAGTATCTAGCCTCTACGCTACTACTGCTCCCAATGATGTAATAAACAATATTAAAGTTGAAGCAGGCGAGCAAAGATTAGACATCGATACAATTGGTAGGGGAGCGGGGGTGGGTGTAGAAAAAAAAAAAGGGGGGGGGGAGGGGAATCATAAAGATATTCATGGATATTCATAAAGGAAGGGAGAGAAAAATATTAGTATATATCAACTGCAGCCAATAGTTTGTAATTTTTTTTCAATTGTATTTTTTGGGTCCTCTTTTTCTCTCTCCCCCCCCCCCCCCTCAATTTACCTCATCGAGGTGTGGGGGAAGAAGGGGGGGGGGGGATAAGACTCGTTTGAGCGCTTTTTCCAATGCATTGTACAAGCTGGTTTTAATTTCTGTTAGGCTGCTCTTGATGGTGTCGATCCGCATCTTGCGTGTTCTTCCCATTAAACTATGTTCATTATATTTCTTCAGCGTAGCTCTGTTTGCCAGCTGGTACCAGGGAATTCTCGTCAGGTGGCCAGACTATCTCATTTGTTGTTCTTCAATGATTGTATGACTGGTTTTACCCGCTATTCCTCTTTTGTTTTCCCAATCCCTGATTTTTTTCTCTTCTTGTTACACCCATCAATCAATTGAAAATGTAGAACATGTCACATATCTGGGCAGTGTGGTGTCCCTACTGGGAGCGACAGAGGAAGACATACAGTCACGCCTGAACAAAGCAAGAGCTGATTTTGGAAGGATGAGGCAAATCTGGAAATCCAACAGTTACTGCAGAGGAACAAAACTCCGACTCTACAAGAGCATAATTTTGCCAGTTCTTCTTTATGGAGCAGAATGCTGGAGAATGACCAAAAAGGATGTACACAAGCTGTCCACCTTCCACCCCACATGTCTACGTAGAATTATCAAAATCTAAAACACTAAATTACTTCAAGTCACAAACCAAAAAACTCTAGACAGTATTATAACCAAGAGAAGATGGAAATGGTTTGGCCACGTTATGAGAATGAATCCTGATTTACCTGCCAAAAACAGCAATCACGTGAATACCAGAGGGAAAGAGAAAAAAGGGGCGCCCAAAAACGACATGGAGACCAACGATCGAAAGTGACCTGAGTGAGGCATCTTTGACATGGTAAACTGCATTGAAGATTGCACAGGATAGGAAAGCATGGAAAGTCGTCTCTGAAGCCTCATGTGCTACTAGGCAAAACGAGAACTGATGATGTTACACCCATGTTTGACACTGGTAGCACAACGTTGACGAAAAACTGTTCTTATGAGATCTGCTTTGGTTGACAGAGGTTTTATTGATAAGTAATTGGCTCTTTTCCAGGCGCTCAAGAGTTTTCATAAAGCAATAGACATCTATATTATTAAAAATGTTAATTTTCCGATGTTGTTATCCCTTAACTCGGAAACTACTGAACCGAATGCTTTAAAATTTTTACACGACTTTGCCTTTGACTCATATCGTGAATTTTTGTCACAAAACTGCACAAACTACGAACGACGTAGCTCCAGCAACGGTCAAATAATTATTTGTTTCCTTGTTGGCCCGGATTAGTTTTTAGTTAATCGGCTATTTTTGGCTGCCGAGCTTTTATCGAACTTTGCATTATAAAATCTCATTCCCACTATTAGTTCGAGTGTTTGGTAGCGCAGTTGGTAACTATTTTGTTTGTCATGTGGGTGACCCGCCTTCGATTCCCCGCTAGGTGATATAATTTTTTTTAACCCCTAACTGGGCGGCTGGCACGTTGCGTTGTGGTTTATGGCTAGGCTGCGATATCTACGCCTTTTTTCGGTTTGGGAGTTTGCAGCTAGCCTGCGACAGCGGCGACGTGATGCCCAATGGTCATGTCACGGGTATTCTTCGTTTGCCCTCGAGAGGGCCGTTGGTACGTTGTGTTGTGGTTTACAGCTAGCCTGCGATATCTGACCTAAACTCTTCAATATTTGGTAGTATAGTTTTAAGTATTCCATCCTTCACGCGGGTGACCGGTGTTCCTTTCCCAGCTGGGTGGACACGGATGCCAAGATCACATGGTGACTTTCCCATCCATCGGAGAGGATGATATAATTATGGGGGAAAAGTTAGAACGGGGGGGGGGGGGGAGAGAGGTTATGCCAGACACAGTTAGCTGAGAGAGCTTAAAATATTATTTTATATTTCCCATTTCTTAACTATTTCTATTTTAATAATTTCGCCAGGTGATGATTTTTCCAATCTTCGGAGAGGGAGATATGATTGGTGGAGGGAAGGGGTATGGGGGAAAGGGGTGGGGCGCGGGGGGGGGGTATGCCAAACACAGTTTGCTTAGAGAGCCTAAAATGTTATATTGCAGTTCTCATTTCTTAACTATTTCTAGTTTTAATAATTTCGCCAGGTGATGATTTTTCCTTCCTTTGGAGAGGATGATATAATTAGGGGGAAAAGAATGGGAAAGGGCGGGGGGGGGGGGGGAGTATGCCAGACACAGTTAGATGAGAGAGCTTAAGATATTATTTTTAAGTTCTCATTTCCTAACTATTTCTATTTAATAATTTTGCCATGGATGATTTGTCAATCCTTAGGAGAGGGAGATATGGCTTCACCAGATGATGATTTTTCAATCCTTCGGAGAAGAAGATATGACTGGGGGAGCGGGGACGGGAGGGGGGGGGGGGTTAACGCCAGACACATTTAGTTGAGAGAGCTTAAAATACTATTGAAAGGTGTAATTTCTTAACCAAATGTATTTTAATAATTTTGCCAGGTGATGATTTTTCAATCCTACGGAGAGGGAAATATGACTGGGTCGAGAGGAGTGGAGAAGGCGGCAGGGGGGAATATGACAGACACTGTTAGCTAAAAGCTATTTTCTTTCCTCTCCATTTCACCATTCTGGGCCACAGCAACGCGTGTCCGGGTACAGCTAGTATTTTATAGAGCAGTGTCCGTTGCTTATGCGTTGCGAGTTCGACTTGTAATTTCGACGTACCGCAGTCGAAAAGCACTGCTGGCTGCGTGGACTTTTATCGTGGCATGGGTCATCGCTGGTCGACCCAACCTAAAATGGGTACTAGGATTGCTGTCCTGTGGAAGTAAAGACGCCTGGCCTAATGCTAACCACCACATTCCCTACCTGGTGCCGATTGTTCTGTAAAAAATATGGGGTGCTCTTTTTATATACCCGATGCACCGAAGGCATAGAAAGGGATCTTTACATTTACTTAACTTTATTAGTCGGTTCTCAATGAGTGCTGGGGTCAACACCGCGGTAATTTGGTTTGTTTGTTTTATATTTGTGTTTTTATTAGTATTAGGGAAAGGGTGGGGGGTTAAAATTGTAATTCATTGAATTGTATGTCATAGTTTAGTTTATCTGTATATTCTCAATATCACCTTTGTGTGGCTTTCGACACTCAAAACATTCACATAGGGATCTCCATGGCCCCGATCTGCTGCTTTTCTCCCGATGGCATTCCTTGTTAGTTTCACTTTCCTTTATTTCTTTTTTTAGCTGTCCTTACCACGGTGTCACGAGGCATTATGCAAACATGTGAAAGCCATCTCAATCTTGTCCTGTGATAATGATACCCAGTTGTGATCATTTTGTTTTGCTCCCCCGTTCTTAATTTGTGACCTTGTGTAGCTAAAGTATTCGCAATATTCTCTTTGTCATTTATTTTGAAATATATAAAGTTTATGAGTAATTCCTGCTTTCATTTTCCAACACTCCCTCTTATGTATAAAAGGAACTTTCTCCTGTCTTAAGGTGTATTGGGCAAATAGAGTTAGACATATATTTTATAGACCAATATTTACTCAGTGGGTGGTGTGGTCACTAACACACCGATCGCTTTTATTTTCCCATGACTTTACTTGGTACCTATTTTAGACTGGGTCGACCTGGCAGCTAAGGTCACTTTCAACAAAAACCCGACTCCTTCAGTAGCTGAGTCCACGACTGTTGTGCATATTATTCATAAAATATTGCTAAAATATTTGTATTTCAAACTAAGTCCTTCTGACTTCTATATATTGTTTTTATCACGGCAAACGCTTGGTTTGCTTTGTTTGTTCTTGATGTTACATTCTTTTCAGAATCCCCCACGGGGAGAAGTGGTGTTGGTTTTTATTTTTTGTTTTTTTAAACATCCGAGATAAATACATACTTCTATTTCCTCTACTTCTTCTATTGCTTCATTGTTTAATACAGTTGCAATTTTGTCTTTGATTATTGCTCATTGCTTTAGTTTTATTATTATTTACCTTGAGTGCTATCTTCTTCTTCTTCTGCGTTCATGCGAAGATGTAATTGCGTTGTGCTTGTTTACAGCATGGCTGCGATATTTGCACCTTTTGGACAACACATCCGATTTCTGCTGGCACTTGTTGACCGGGTTAGCCTTCCCGGTGAGTGCTATATTAAACGCTACAGAAAGTCTTTCCTCTTCTTGTGAACACCCAAATAGCGGTTTGATATAAGACTAATCTGCATAATTCTTTCTTTAAAACTGAGGTAGGTGACCATCTGATACATCTGTCTCTATCTCTTGTAACTTTATTCATCAGCCAGTTTGATTAAACAGCATGTGTGTGCATCCCTGCCAAACACCTTTGATCACAAACAAACATTTATGTTGTAATGATTATCGTTTAACTTGCATTGAAAACTTTAGTATTTTCACTTGATCACGTTAATTTATTGTTATTCTGTTTAAATTGAAATTTAAACGTATATTTGGAAAGTATAATTCATTGTTAGTCAGAATTGAATTACATTTTTAAAATTGCACTTTATTGGTATTCGATATAAATTTTTTTTTTATTTTTTTTTTTTACTTTTACAGATGGCAAGTTGTACGGGAAAAGCATGCCTACGCTTTTGACACCAGATTGTTGAATTTAACCAAAGAGAATATCAGCATTGGTGGATACCTTCAGTCCTACAAATATTTCAAAGATTACGCCGATGAAGTGAGGCAGGAGTTTCTGTTTTCTGACTCAATTGCTAACGAAGCATATTTAATTGTTCACAACCTAATTTCTGAACGAAAAGGCAACTTGTTTGTAGGAGTACACATACGAAGAGGGGATTTCCTAAATGGTGGTAATCCCAAATTGGGTTATGGAGTCCCAGAAAAGTCTTATTTCTTAAAGGCATTCAAATGGATGCAATCCAAGTTTCCGAATAGAAATATTACGTATTTAGTTGCTAGCGATGATCTTAATTGGTGCAATGACAATTTGAAAAGTGATAATGTGTTAGCATTACCTAATGCACCCCCAGCTATTCACATGGCCATTTTGTCCTCTTGTGATCACGTGATAATGTCGGGTGGAACTTATGGGTGGTGGAGTTCGTTTTTGGCAGGTGGGTACGTTGTTTACTTCAAAGGGTTCATGTCAAAGGGAACAACATTTGGCGATTCATTTAATCCAGAAACGTATTATCCCCCGCTTTGGGTTGGAATGGAAAACTAGGGACTTTTCGTGTTTTTTATGTACAAATATGAAGGAATAGCAAAACATATCAGTTAAGAACTAAATCCCCTGGAAATACCTCCAAGTCGCCAACAACACATAAGATCAAGATTATTGGCTTTCATTATAACTGAACCAAAATACACAGAAAATAACCACGATTTAAGAGATGTTCTAAAACAACAAGATGGGTAATGAAGTTTAAAGTCTAGAAGATCGACTAGATTACATTGAGTAGTACTCAATATGGCTCAGTCTACCTCAACAGAACGACTATCCGCCTTCCAAGAAACTCGCAAAAGCATAGAACTCTATTGCTCTAGAGACAATCCCCAGTGATCTCTTATAAAAGCTCACATCTGAACTCAACGAAGCACTCCGTGAAACGAACTTAAACCTGCAGAGCTCAAGCCAATTGCCTTAAACACTTTGCCCCGCAGATCACAAGTCAACAAAATTGGGACCACAACGGCCGTCTCACTTTTGACATTCAGCAAGAAAAGCAGCGTTCTAAGGTTTCTTTTTTTTTTTAATTGAAAAGATGTAAAAAATAGAAATTCACCGGTAAATGAAAGTCCCGAACGGTGATACATACCTTTCAGTCCAGCAAGTTTAAAAGTAAAGTATGGAGATTCAAAAGTGTTTAAGTGGAGTGTCGAGATTCACATGTGTGTGAGTGGAGTATGGAGATTCACAAGTATGTACAGGGAGTATAGAGGATACACGAATTGAGTGAGTATGGAATATTCACAAGTATGGTAAAGTGAGTATTAGAGATAACCAAGTGAGTGGAGTGGAGTATGGAGATATTTTTCGA